AACAAACTAGTTTTATATACCAGGTTAGATAGTAATAAAAGGAAAAAAGAAAGCAAACATGCTGGTTAATAATTTGTATTTTGGGGCATACTTTATAAGTCACCTGGCTTCTCATTTCCCCTAACCGTACTCATTTGTTGTGGTGTTTGCCAAACAAGTATCCACTGTCCCTGTGTGCAACACTGAGGAGTTTCCTGGGGCTGCAGATTTGCTGTGTAAAACAGGGATAGTACCTGACCAACCAAGATGGTTGGTCACCGTCATTGCCACAGAAACACAGAGATCTGGACTCAAACTCCATCTTAATTTTTTTTTTTTATCCTGAGCAAAATATAATCTGTTAACTTAGAATCTTCATCTATAAAACTGGAGTAAAAATATTTGCTGCATAGAATTTTTAAAAAAAGGCTCATGAGGAAACCACCCAGCTCAGGTTAGTCGACATGAATTCTTTTTTCCTCACCAGCTTTTCCAATGCTATTATGACATAGGAGAAGCATTGTTTTACTTATTTCATTGATAAGAAACACTATTTTCATTGATAAAAAACACTTTATCTTACCCAAGGCAATTGAGCAGTAAATGATAAAATCAGGGCTTGGGCCCTGCCTTCTGGTGATATATTCAATACTTTCTAAACCATATACATTTCAATTTCAAGTGTCAAGGAGAATTTGAAAGTAGCTATTCATAGTAAGTTTTTAGCACTTTTATAACATGTAAAGTCTAGTACTTTTTCTTTGAATATCTTTTATTTTAGCACAGTGCTGATGACCCATGTTTAAGCATAGGTGCTATCATAATAATGACCCATAAAATGTTATGTTATAGTCTATTTATCCTTTTTGTATATTCATTAAATCCTAAGTGTACATAGAACTTCTCCATTCCCTGTTTTTGTTGGCTGTCAGAATACTGATTTCTGGTTTCAGTGATTACAGTAATGTATTATTGAATAATGTCTGATGACTACTGGGCATAACAAACATGTTTAAAATGCATATTTCATTTTGTATTTGAAAAATAGGTCTCAATAAACATACATTTAAAATGGAATAAAAAGTACATTTGGAAAATGGGCCATAAAAACGTTTTCCCAGATTTCTTCTTAAAGTGTGGATAGGATGCGATTGTGATACAGCACTGCAAAACATAATGGTCCCCCACTGAATTATAAATTTCCAACTCAGCTGAGGGATTTCACAGAACATAAACACCAGGACAGAGATGATACATTTGTTTTCAAAGAAGGAGATAGTTACATTTCATCATGTTCCCTTCAAGTTAATTTACATCTAGTTTAGGGAATGGTAGAACTGAAATATCTAACTCTCCAATCAAAAATATGAATGTATTTGTTTAGGAAAAATAAATGAGCCACATATGTAGAACATAAACAAAGAGGAACTCTGGATATGGTGTCTGTTTATTTTCTCTCCGTCCAGAATTGTGTTTTTATGATTGTGACTTTTAATTTAAAACAATAATGGGCTGGAGACTTGATTAAATTTGAGCATTTGAAAAAGGTTGAAAGGATTTTTCTTCTTAGCATGCTCATGCTCCGAATCATAATTGTTAACATGCCGCATGAACCTCAGTGCTTTTAGTTCATTCAACCTAATCTTATTTTTTAATGCAGTTTGCCAACATTTATAGACCTCTAAAACATTTAGCAGATGGCTTGATAGATTTCTCATAGTACTGTGAGCAGGCTGACCCAATGAAGATTTTGACTTTTCACTATTATCGTAACTTTTTAATGTGCATTGCAATACTTCTTTTTTTAAATATCCAATTTATTTAATTTAGGCTCTGTTTCCTATTCAGTGACCTAGACTTTATTTTAAAAATTACATTGGCAATGAACTAATTACTGTATAGGAAAGCAAATTAACCAATTTTTTTCTCTAGGAGAATAGAAATAAGCATCTATGTAAGGTGGATAAATGTAATATGTAATCTTATTTCTCCAGATATTTTCCTAAGTAAATAGGATTCAAAACAATGTCTTTTTCTTAAGAAAACAGTACATGAATATTCTAGAATACTTAGAAAAGAAATATAATCATGTTTGCTTCCTCTCTATTATTATAACCATTTTGTTTATTTTTCTTTCCCTTATTTGTGAAGAGATATTACCATTTTTTACCATTCTCATTAATCAATGAAGAAGGTATTTTTTAAATTTAGTTGTAATAATGTTTTCACAATTTTATAATTGACATTATTCATATTGTTATATAACCTTTATTAGCATCACTTTTTAATGGCTGCATTATACTTTCTTAAGGCAGAAAGTACAGGTTTTAAGGATTCTTTATGGTCAGAAATGTGAGTTGTTTCTAAATATGGATGGATCTGACACATACTATATTTTGCTAATTTCTCAGATATAGTTTGGAGAAAAAGGTTGAGATTTTTTGGAAAAAATGGTGATGGGTTTTACTTAGATCTGTCTAGTTGAGCTATTTGTGAGAACCTCAAGTGCATCCATCTGGGAGATGATCTAAATACATAGAGGAATCCTATATAGGCCTGTAATGACATTTTTTAAGTGATATCACAAGAGAAGAAATAAGGAAGAAAACTTAGAGGTAAATATGAATATCTTTTTACAGTTTACTACACTCAGTCACAGGGCTCATGGCCTCAAAATAATTTTCTCTTTTTCTTCTTCTTGCCAATTTCCCATCAAATTTGACTCATTTCATATGGTCAAATGAAAGAGATTCAATTAAACTAATACATACAAAGATTAAATGAATGATAACCTCACACCGCCATTTTGGTATTAGAAAAATGGAGGCTTAAGAAATTTCTGGATACATGGAGGGGATGATTCATACAACATAAACTACTTTTCATTTGCCTTATTGTAATATCTCTCATATTAAGAGGATAAATCTGACATTTATCTACTACCAGATTGATTTATAACACTATGATAGACATATTGTGATTATCTGCTTATAACCTTTTCACTAGACTGGAAGGGAACATGAATCCTATAAAGAGAGTGTCCAATATCAAGATCTCTGACTTCCCTGCCTACATTCTTTCCTTCCTTCCTAGGTCTTTTTTAATGTATCTGGCCCTGCCCTGGTATCTGAGAATTCAGTGGTGTAAGATGAGTTTTCTACTTCCCCAGAGTAAATATTCCAGTGGGGAAGAGAGATGAAATAGAGAAAGAAAGAATTCATGAACAAGATATTCAGATACTGGTAGAGACTATGAAAAAATAAATAAGGTTATGTGAAGAGGAGTGATTGAGTCCATGCTGGGCAGGAAGGGCATCATTGAGGAAGTAATGTTTGAGCACATACATGTAATTTAAAGCCATGAACTGAGCGAGACCACCTCAAGAGAGAGAGAAGAGGGTTGATGTGGAATGGCAAGTTTAGAAAATGCCTCTTAAATTTTTTAATGAAGGAAACAGAAAATAAAGGAAGCGTTGGTATTGGAAGGAGATATAAACCTAAGAAGCAGTTATTGTAGCTATCATCTATCTATCTATCTATATCTATCTATTTACCTATCTATTGATTGATCTTTCTTTCTATCTCTCTCATCTATCTACCTACCTACCCATCTGTCATCTATCTGTCATCTGTATCTATCATTTATCATCATCTATCTCTTTATTTGTGGTAGGAGATATCAAAGCATTTGAAGTGCTAATAAAGATGATCCAGTAGAGAGAGAAAAAAGGCTGATGCAGGATATTGAGGTTGTAATTGTAGATGAAATGTCCTTATAAAGATCCGAGGGACTGTATCCGTGTGCTGTTGGAGCAGCTGTCCTTATGAAGAAGCATGGCCACCTCCATTGCTGTCAGCTCAGGAGGGAAACAGAGAGAATGTGATCGAGGCAGTTTTGTGGTTGAAAGGTAAAAGGTTTCTGTCTGAAGGCTTCTATTTTTTTGGTGACGTGTAGGCAAGATAATCAGCAGGAATTCAGAGAAAGAGAAGTGTGCAGAGCTGTAGGTATTATGAGAAGAAAAGAGGAGGTATAAAATAATCATTTTTGAGAGTGGAAGAACTAAGTTACTAAAGAAAGAAGGAGGAGGACTTGGAAATACTAAGTGCTCGTTTTGGATTTGTGGTCAAGAATTTTAGGGTGTCTCAAAATTAGTACGATGTTGCATTTTTTACCCAGCTTCACTGTACTTTTGTTACTCACAGATTGAAAAATACTCAGTAACAGAAATTTCCTAAGTGTTCATTAAAGCTATTATGTTAAAATGTGATTTGTCATTAACAATAGCAGCATGATACATTTGATAGATGGCGGTATATATCCATGTATGTAATAATACCTATCCAACCACTGACAGTGCTTAGTGCCCTCAGATATGCTCTTTTTTTCTGCTTGGCCCCCAGCCTCCTGTAATAATCCTATTTTCCCATTGGGATCTGAATACCCTAAGTTTGGAACCAATGTTATTTTATCATAGACTGTTGAACCATGAAGGGGGCATAGAAATTATCAAATTTGTTGGTTCTTCTTTTCGATTACCATAACCACATAGGGGATCTTAAAAATGGATATTTCAAGACTGTTGCAGATCTATGTGAACATCACTGAGGTAGACTTAGAGACTTAAACTCATCAATATTCTTTCCCTATTGCCAAATGAATCCCGCATAAGAGGAGGGATATTTGTTTGTAAATTTGATAATTTCCTGTATACCCAAATCAGACCATAAAGGGATTCTCTAACTAGGGAATTGGTTTAAAAAGAAAAGTGCTATTATTATAAAAGGTCTCACCCAAAATAGCTGAAATGGTAATGTAAAAGGCAGTGCTTCCAGCCAAAAGCATACTCCACAGTATACTCCATGCTACCTCTCAGATTCTTAGACTGCTAGATGAAGGATGGTGTCTAAAGTCTTGGGCGGTTATATGGTGTTGTATGGTGGCCAGCTGCAACCCAGACAGCCAGTGTGCTGTGACCCTCTGATTTTTTCCTATTCTTATGATATGTGTGTGATATTTTTCAGTATACTTCTGCTCTAACCTATGATGCTGTTCAAGTGATGACTGAGGCTTTCCGCAACCTTCGGAAGCAGAGAATTGAAATCTCTCGAAGGGGGAATGCAGGAGATTGCCTGGCAAACCCAGCAGTCCCCTGGGGACAAGGCGTAGAAATAGAAAGGGCCCTCAAACAGGTCAGTCACTCAAAATGATTGTGAGTGTGACTTAACAGTGGACACTATTTTTTCCGGCTATGTTAGTCTCCTGGCTATGTTTAACGTAAAGTGAATATTACCTCTTAACTGCACAGAGGTATGTTGAAGGGTGAAAAGAAATCTTATAAATGTAGTTTTCTTAACTTGAGCCCAGTGAGAGTAATCTGTACAGTTTGTATCTTCAGTTGCAGTAAATTGATAACTGTGGTCCTTTCCCATTTCCTCATTAGGTTCAGGTTGAAGGTCTCTCGGGAAATATAAAGTTTGACCAAAATGGAAAAAGAATAAACTATACAATTAACATTATGGAACTCAAAACCAATGGGCCCCGGAAGGTAAATCATTAGTGATCTAAAGGCAGATTTCTCTCTGCGAGGAGGTGAGTTTGCTAACCCGTCACCTCTTCTTCCAGAGAGTCCTGGAAATGGATATTCACATAGGTAGAGTTTATCTACTTCCAGAAACAGATATATTTTTAATTTTTTTCCCTAAATCTAATCTATTCATTTCTGGTAAGTAATACTGAAATGTAATCTTCAAATGACTGTGAATAGAAGAACTGTTTTTATTTTTATTTATTTATTTATTTATTTTTTGTTTTTTGATCAAGGTGTAAGAGATTTAATGAGAAGAAAAAGAAACCATCGCTGACAGTTTATGGTTTAGAAGACAAAACATAGCTGGTGCAAATATGCATTAATATTTTAATTCAGTACCTTTCTCTTAACTGTTATGGATAAAATTCCATTGCTTGGATTTTATTTCTATTTCCATATGATCACTCCTAACAAATTACCCTGGAAAGTATGAGAAGTGAATGTGAAAAGACAAGCCATTTTAAAGAATTGCTTTTGTTTCATTGTTTTTATAATCTCTATTTGTATTAGAGTCACAAAAATAAAAGACACAGCTTTGTTAATGTATATATGTTTTTTTAAATTTTTTTAAATTTATTTTCAGCGTAACAGTATTCATTGTTCTTGCACCACACCCAGTGCTCCAAGATATAAGTTTTGATTCATACATGAGTTTGAAATAATTCAATGTGTGGATAATAGAAAGATCATTTATCCATGTGCCTATCTTCTGTAACCTTTTTCAGATCGGATACTGGAGTGAAGTGGACAAAATGGTTGTTACCCTTACTGAGCTCCCTTCTGGAAATGATACCTCTGGGCTTGAGAATAAGACTGTTGTTGTCACTACAATTTTGGTAATTAGCTACCAATGCTACTGCAGTTCTTCTTATGAAAAATATCTGCCAACTAGAATTGCTGCTAGTGTTTTAGGATAATAACTAATGGAGTGCTTCTTTGGCACTGTTTGAATCATGCATAGCATATTTACTCTGTCAAAGGGACCACACAAGTATTAGCTAAAGCATTCAAAATATTTGCTATCCTCTTCAATACTGAAATTTAGCTTGACAGAAAATTCATACACTGGTGCGTCCACAAGTGTGAGCAGCTGGGGAAGGTCTGGGAGAGGGTTCCCTGTGTTTCCTCCTGTGCTTTACCTTTCACTTCCCGTGCAATTCTGGGTACCTTCTATCTTCACATTTATTAATAATGTTGGCAAGTCTGTTTCCTTATAAGATGAACTGGTTAAAGATAATTTCTCTTCTTTTTAACCACCAATGTCCACACAGTCATTGAGATACAACCAGTTCTGAGGGAATGAGATAACATTGAACTGAATCTTGATCATCTAGGCTCTGGAGACATGGAGGTAGATGCAGATCATCGTGCAAGCCGTTGGTGAAATAGAGATGGGGGGGGAAGGGCTTCACTAATAGTACATGATTTTGCGACGAAACAGTTGTATTTTATTTTGCTGAGCCGTGGTATAGTAAAATTGTGGGATTCATTATTCTAACGATATTGAGAAGAAAAATATAGGTGAAAATATAGCTGAAAAAATCAGCTAATAAGAGATTTGAATAGTAACATTGATTGGCATTTGGAAATACCTTAAAAAATATAAGCTCTGACATGTGAGGGCTTTTGGTAATCATGCCATCAAGGGGGACTATTTCACTGAACTCTCAAATATGCTTGATGACACTTTCCAGTAGAGAATTTTGGGCTATGTTGAATCATTTTCATACTTCATTTTTCTTGTGTTTACAGGAGGAAGCTACTTTCCATCCTTGTAATGTTATTCTAGGATATTCTATCTTATAGATGAAGTGAGACATGAAATCTGAGAGGGTAGCCTCAGTACGTCACTATGGCAATGATTCTTTAGTCTATCCATTACTGACTATCAACATGATTTCCACATGAACCTTATCCTTGAAGCAGCAATACATAGGGTTTTGGGTGAATGCTGGTTCTTGAACTTGGCATGACCCTAACCTAGAAAAAGAGTGTGGTGGATCTGGAGTTGAATAAAACAGATGTTGAGCAACATTATTCCTATCTACACTCTAGGAGTTTACAAACATGACAAGGGGACATGTCAACAGTTTGTGCTTTTGAGTTTCTTGTTTACTTTGTTATGGCTAGATACAAGTCATATTAATGAAATATAATGTTAGGCATTTGAGGACCTTTTTTCTCAAAGGTATTATGCTCAATATTTTTCTGCTGATATTTTCCACCATTCACATTCTACAGTTTCTCTGGCTACCAGGTAATAATTAAACCAGAAGACTTGAATCAGTGAAAGTAGTTAACACAGCTATTTTTTTTAAATCAATGAAAGAACTGTCTTTCCATATAGGAATCTCCATATGTTATGATGAAGAAAAATCATGAAATGCTTGAAGGCAATGAGCGCTATGAGGGCTACTGTGTTGACTTGGCTGCCGAAATTGCCAAACATTGTGGGTTCAAGTACAAGTTGACAATTGTTGGGGATGGCAAGTATGGGGCCAGGGATGCTGACACGAAAATTTGGAATGGGATGGTTGGAGAACTTGTATATGGGGTAAGTATAGCTTTTCTCCCAAATAAAGTCATTCAGTTTGAACAGAATTCCCCACTTCCCTGCAAAGTACCTCTATCTGAGGTTGTTAGTTTCCCACATTACTGAAGAATACTATCTTTTTGCCTTGTGAACATCTGAAAATTAAGGCTAACTTCCGAAGCACACACGCACATTAAATGAGACAGACATTTGATCTGTCTTGAAGCATATGAACCATATACATTGCTCAAAGGCACCAAAGGCATAGATTCAGTGTAGAGATGTAATTATCATAGTCGAGTCAGACGGGCATACTGTGTATTTATAAAGAGGAGGGATATTTGGGTAACAAATTGCTTTTTTGTTTATTCTTTACTGGGACTCTGCCAAGGAAATAATTATTGACATTTCCCTGATTTCCTTTTCTTCCCTTTTGATCCACTAATGTAACGATGATTCCTTTCAGACCATGACTCTGAGTACTATTACTTTCATTTGTTTTCCTTACAGAAAGCTGACATTGCAATTGCTCCATTAACTATTACCCTTGTGAGAGAAGAGGTGATTGACTTCTCAAAGCCCTTTATGAGCCTCGGGATATCTATCATGATCAAGAAGCCTCAGAAGTCCAAACCAGGAGTGTTTTCATTTCTTGATCCTTTAGCCTATGAGATCTGGATGTGCATTGTTTTTGCCTACATTGGGGTCAGTGTAGTTTTATTCCTGGTCAGCAGATTTAGCCCCTACGAGTGGCACACTGAGGAGTTTGAAGATGGAAGAGAAACACAAAGTAGTGAATCAACTAATGAATTTGGGATTTTTAATAGTCTCTGGTTTTCCTTGGGTGCCTTTATGCAGCAAGGATGCGATATTTCGCCAAGGTTGGTTACTCACCTGCTTCAACTTTGTGCATTTTAGGTCTCAAGTGGATATTCATGGTGTTTATGAATTCACTATAAAGAAGTAAACAGCTGCTGACTACCTGTCCAAGCAGTTTAAGACTCTTCAGGACAGACTCTTACTGTCGGCATAAGTCTGTGGAATATTCGAGCAATGTTCTTTGAATGTTGATCTTGTATTTCCTGGTGAAATTATACACACCATGGAGAGGCTATAAAATGCATAAGGTTCCTATCATTCCATGCCTTCTTGGAGGGGTACCGTGTTTTTGCTGCATATTCTCATTTTACAGTCATCTGTGTGTTGATCCACAGACCTGTATATGGGAAAATGGGCAACATCACTTATTAACTACAAAAGCAACAACTTGTTTACAAAACTTCATTGGCACACATCCCATCTCTTTTATTTTCTCATTATTAGCTCATGCAGATGGTATCAGAGAGAGATAATAAATTTGTTTTTGTTTTTTTTTAAAAGGTTAGGTTGCTGAATTAAGGGGATGTCTGATAAGATATTTTCCAAGTATTTAGAAGTACATGGTTGGTAATAATGGTGGTTGATTCACCGCAGCTTCTCTATATTCAATAGTAATACGCACAGATAACGGCATACATTTCTGCATCTAGTCTCATTATGATATATTAGGTACTGCTCTAAAATACCTAAATACAATGAATATCTCGCAAAATACATTTTGCCTTTGTTCATGTTACTACATGAATAAGAAGGATAGCCATATCTGGCTCTTCGGAAGAATAAACCATGATTTTTCTAGTATGATTCTTTCACATTTGAAGGCTAAATTATGGTCTACTGACACATTTTAATCTAGGTTTGATTACTTTCCTTTGATTCTATGGGATATCTTAATAACTAATAAAGGGGATGATTTTTCTAATACCATTTCGTTGTTAGTTTCTGAGCACTTTGGAGATAACTGATTAATTTCAAAAAACTCAAAAGTTTGTATCTTTTGTAGTCTTCTTTTGTATACTCCACCCAGTGAGATAAATTAAATATATCATGTATGCAGAAATTATTAATGACTCTCGGCTAGTAGGACACATTGTTATAAATTATTTGAACCTAAACAATCTTAATTCCATAGATTCCTTTTGACTTCTTTATGGAACTGCCCTGAATTAAAAATATGCCAATGGTATTTGCATGGCATATATGTATAATAATTTTAATATATACAGTGTAGAATAATATAGAAATATATAATAATGTTATATATAATAATATACATAAATATGATGACCTCCCACAAAATACGAAGATTCATAGTTTTATCTCTACATTTATCTGATTTAAGTTAAAGACATAAAGAGAAGTTTCTAATAATGAGGGAGAAAATATTAACCAAATGGGGCTCTCAGAGAATATTCTGGTCCATAAATAATAATAAAATTATTCATCTTTGGTAAGAAGTATAGTGTAACTTTAATCCTGAGATAAAACACAATTACCCTAGGGTAACATAAACTATGCTCTGCCTTTTGATTTAGTAAGGAGAAGTGTGTGAGGTTCATTATAAAGTAGGATATATTGATCTGGGTTCCTATAGATGGGTCCTTAGATTTGTTTGCCTTATTCTTCATGGCTCCTGGCTCTGAAGTTAGTTGTTTTGGTGTCCAGTGCTTGTCAAGGAACAGAAAACATATTTACAGGAATTGTAGCATAGAGAATATTTAAAAATATGTGTTACCCTAGGGTCCACCATGACAGACAACTACTAATTTTCAAAAAGCCTGTTTTGTAAAATATGCCCTTTTATCTGTGCTCATGATTTCATTCATGAGTCATGACTTACTACATGACTTACTACAATTTCACATGGAATAATTTTTATTTCCTGGTACACTAAATAGATTTTAGTTAGTATATTTTTCCTTGTTATCAACTGATTTATTTTTTACTACAGAATATATAAATGAGCAAAATTTGCTTTGCTAAAAATTTTAAGTGTTCATATCTTTCATTCTATATTATATGTGCATTTAAATACTGAAAATACTGCATAATACTGGCAAATTTAATGATTTTTAAAACAAACTATCTTTTTTTAATAATGCAATGATGGTTACTCCAGCTTAGGAAAGAAGAATAGAGAAACATAGTATCTAATAATAATGACGATGATGATGATGATGATGATAATAATAATGATGATGATGATTCATGAAATGCACTGATCACTTTGAGATATTCTTTAAATATTTTGAAAGATATTTATCACATCTTTTCAAGTAAAACATGGTATGGAAATATATTATTAATATTAATAGAACATTTAAATTTTAATCATAAATTATTCATTAACCTGAATTGGTCTTTTTCCTGAAATTAAGTTTAGAATATGTTTACTGTAGTTTTCTGAAGCCTAGAACCACAGAAATTGTGAGCGTAAAATGCTATAAAGTTGATTTTTATTTTCTTGCTTGCCTCTGTTTTTTTCCCCTAATATCTCAAAAGGATTCCAATGAATAAAAATGTAATTCTTAAAACAGTTATTTAATATAGATTTAAAAGAAATGGTAGAATAAAAAAGAAGGATTTGGTAGAATATCTGTTTATTTGCTCTTTTAATCCAGATTCAAAGAAGTAAAGATTTGTTTTTAATTAGAGAAACCATTTTTGTCTGTCACCATAAGACATAAATTGAATTGCCCCCTGCATAAAATTTCTTAGGAACTCTTTCAGAAACATTAATTGATCCTTTGAAAACAATTACAAATGAATAATAAATTGCAGAAGAATTTTCTGTTTTGAATGAAGTATAAGTTCAATAAATTTATTGAGATAACTTGTCAAACTTCAAGTAAATTGGTATATTTAAACTCATTAAATCTGACCTAAGCACTGGAATAGAGAACAACATATCTTGTGTTTATAAATGGAACAGAATTACTTATAAAAACGATTCTGAAATACATTGCCAATTACCATGCAGTTTATAGTGTCAAAGCAATTACTAAGAAGACATTTTTGTTTTAAGGGATTTGAGCTGCCCTCTTAAATATGGAATACATACCCTTTGATTATGCTTTCCATTGTTATAGAATAGCGAACATTTTGAGAGTGGCTGTGTCTACACAAGAGGTTTCTTAAATTTAAAATGTATTTAATACCCTATCCATGAGAGAGTAGTTCATTTTTTTCCATTCTGTCATATTTATTTAATTCTTTGCATCTCTCAGAGTCTGTAATAAAGGCTCTTAGTTATATTTTTTCATCACTTGTCACTCTCTCTTTCTCTTTTAGCAATAGATATTCCTAAAAATCTTTATTTTTAAATAAGCTCCCCACTTTTTTTTGACTGCTAGAATAATTTATTCTACAAAGATGTATTCCTTACTGTTAAATGTCAGGAGGTCTGTTTTAGGCTATAAATTATCAAACGTTTGTAATTTAGATTTTTAGAAATGTTACCTTTTCACTGTAGCAAATTTAATTGTTAGACATAGCAAAGTTATTAACCTAAAATGTTATTGTGTTGGATTGTTAATATTACTTAAACCCCTTTACTTTTTTAAAATCCCTTTATATGTAGAATCCCACCAAATCTTTCAGAATAATATGTTATGTATCAATTTCCATATCTACATATCTATATTTATCTCCCTAGGGTTTAAAGTAAGTTATTAGGGATCTATTAAGCTTTCAAAAGTATTTTACATATGAATTTATGGTCAAAGAGATATTATTATTTTATTATATTACAAATCAGTAATTTGTATCTTGACAAATGTTTAAATGTCTAATTTTGTTTTCCTTGAGTTGTCTTTTTTTCTTAAGCAGGAAGCACAGAGGAACAGGGTGGTAGCAGTCCATGCCAGGAAGCCTCAGATTTTTATTTATTAAGAATTATATTTTGTGTCATCCCTTTGTTTGTTGTATCATTGTTCCCCATTTTCTATTCTGCACCATATCAAAAACCTATGTTTTTGCACACACAAAAAAAAACCAGTGAAATTTTGGACCTTTTAGAGGGTTTTGGAACTTAATTGGCTGAATTAAAGGGAGGGTTTCAACTTCACCTATGGTACACATTCTTTTATTTTTAATATTTGATTTTGTTTGTCAAAATAATTGTGAGTTTTACAAGTGATGTTAAATTCTCTTTTTCGTGTTTACTTATGTCATGAATGGATAGTAGGATGGGCATTGGCTGGATTATTTGCATATTTCTTAAAATTGCTTCATTGTGAAATTTCATACCATAGACAATTTGGGCATTATAACTTTGAAAGAATCTGAGGAATCTGAAGTTTTGGCCTCTGGGTAGCTCATTATATCTAGCTAATCTAGACTGCTTACCCAGAATGCTTAACGATTTCCAGTTTTATTAACTAACAGATATATTAAAAAGTATCAAGTTAAATAGTCCCATATAAGTCAATATTTGCATAATATTGCTAACTTGGATTTTTTTACTAGGTCATTCATTTCACTTTACAAATCCATTTCATACTTGTTATTAGATCCCTCTCTGGGCGCATTGTTGGAGGTGTGTGGTGGTTCTTTACCCTGATCATAATCTCCTCCTACACGGCTAACTTAGCTGCCTTCCTGACTGTAGAGAGGATGGTATCTCCCATCGAAAGTGCTGAGGATCTTTCTAAGCAAACAGAAATTGCTTATGGGACATTAGACTCTGGATCCACCAAAGAGTTTTTCAGGGTAAGAGATCCTGATTTGTTAACTTCTGATTTTGATCTTAAAATTTAACCATTTTCCATTTTGTCCTCGCTCCCTCATTCCTGTGCTCTACGAAGGTATTATGTGATAGTAATCCCCTCTCTGTCTCTCTCTCTGTTCTTGACCTTGTCTCTATACTTCTCCCTTCCCCATCCTTATCTTTAGCTCCATCTCTATTTTGTCATACCTATCTCTTAGGAGAAAAACACAACATTATAACAGAATTATAGTTTTATAAAGATTGTCCTTTTGGAACAAAATTGAAGCAAACTACAAATAAGTTTAGATTGTTATTATTTTTGAAGCAGAATTTTTTAATTTTAAATAAGCATAGCTGTCATATATTTTACATAGTTTACAGTTGAAAACTCACTTTCAAATCAGTTATGTCAATTCTGTTATGTTAATTAGAAAAGATTATATAAATGTGTGAAAATTCTGAATTTTTTCAAACTACGTGTCTATTAAATATATTCTATTTTTCAAAAAAAAATTGTGACCATATGGTATTTATATATAGTACAAGTCCAATAATCTCATGGCCATACAATTTTCTTTCATTATACTATTTTCTCTCTATAAGAAGTTGTTCTATTAAAATGTTTAATACAGCTGATAAACTTAGGTTTTAGGCCAATGTATATTGTATATATAATATATATGTGTATATATATGTATATATGTGTATATATATGTATATATGTATATAACATATGATAATAACATGTATATAACACATATATATAACATATGATAATTGTATATAACATATGATAGTTTCTGATAATCTAACAAAATCTTTGACGTATATGAATTTGCTTGAGTGAGATCTAGGCCATTCCAGAATTAAGATTAGCATCAGCTGAAGTAGTAGAGTATAATTTGAAGACCGTTTTATCTACATTGCCTCAGTATCTTTTCCAACTAACTTCAGTTGAATGAAATAGGAGAACAAGTGTGTGTGTGTGTTTGTGTGTGTGCGCACGCATGTGTGTGTGTATAGGGGCAGACCACAGCTGATAATAGATAATAACCTGGCTACATGTAGGAAGGGCAGGATCTTTTTTTTTTTTTTTAAAGATTTTATTTATTTATTTGACAGAGACAGCCAGAGAGGGAACACAAGCAGGGGGAGTGGGAGAGGGAGAAGCTGGCTTCCCACTGAGCAGAGAGCCCAATGTGGGGCTCGATCCCAGGACCCTGGGATCATGACCCAAGCTGAAGGCAGATGCTTAATGACTGAGCCACACAGGTGCCCTGGGAGGACAGGATCTTGGTGCTTTCTTTAAGCACTGCAATTTAAGTGTGGCTAATCTATCAGCAACTGCTTTGACTTTAATGCAGCTTTATATAAGAATGTTATAATACAGATTTGCTACTAATGACAAATTGCTTTCATCTATGAACATATATGTAATATGTATATAAATACTCTTAATGTAGCACAGTGTTTTAGTTTTATCATAACACTGGATCTATTAAGATAAATTAGAATATTGCATGGTTCTCAATTAGAAGTGTATTTTGAAGCAGTTTTTATTACTTGTATTCCAGTAGGACTTGCATTTATTTTATCTATATACTTTATTCATATTCTTCCTCTTAAAGTGAATGAAATATGTAAGTGAATAAGGTACCTGCTATATCACGGTTTCCTTAGTGTAACTTAATGTTGATTAAAACAATCTTGTTTCCAGATAATTATCTTACAGATTAGTATACATATGTTGAGAGTTACTGTCATTAACTTGTTTGCACAGCAGTGGTTCCAGGTACTCTCAGCAACTGTACATACACATTTCCAGAGCTTTGCCATGTTCCTTAACTCAGTCATAGAAACATATATGCAATTTTCAAGATGTCAAGATTTCATGATTGGTACACACAAGTGCCTCAGTAGACAAGATGAAAAGACTAGATGACTCTGGGAAAAGAATGCTGTTACTCTTGTGTTTTGGTACACTAACTCCATGAACACCATGATTCCAGTATGCAGTATGTTCATGTATACATATGGACACTTGCCAGCATAATTTGTGGAGTGCCATTTGCCAATATAAGACTGTGGAGCTTACCCTTTCTAGAGTAACAGGGAAGTGATAGTGAGTAATTAGGTAAACTGATACCTTTTATTATCATAGCTTTCCCAAGCAATTTCATATGCGTTATTTCTTTGCTTATTTATTTATTAAAGTATAATTAACATACAGTACTCTATTAGTTTCAGGGGTACAACAAAGTGATTCAACAATTCTATATCTTACTCAGTGCTCAACAATTCTATACATAACTAAGTGCTCATAACTAGTTTTATGAGTTTCAGGTGTACAATAAAATGATTCAACAATTCTGCACATTATTCAGTACGTTAAGTGGACTCTTAATACCCTTTATCTACTTTACCCATCTTTGCCCCACCCCCACAACCACCAGATTGTTCTCTGTATTTAAGAGTCTGGGTTTTTTTGTTTGTTAGTTTTGTTTCTGAAATTCCACTTCTCTAAGTGAATTCATATGGTATTTGCCTTTCTCTGTCTGCCTTATTCCACTTGGCATTATTCCCTCTCAGTCCATCTGTGTTGTTGCAAATGGCGTGATCTCATTCTTATGGCTGAATAGTATTCCATGATGTGTATATACCACATCTTCTTTATCCCGTTAGCTTTTTGAATCTCACAATACATCTGCCTGATAATCAAAACAATGATTTTTATTTGCATACCATGAATTATTAAGCTAAAGCTCAGATAATTTTGTGGACTTGGCCAAATTTAGGCAGCTGGTAAGTGTGCTGAGGTTTTTACCTAAACCTCTAGGGTTCTTTCAATATCCTATTTTCACCTGCTGATAAAGGTCTCTGGATTTATTTTGCTGTGCCCATGCTCAGTTTAGGTTATATCCTTGTTTATAGGTTTATATCCTTGTGTGGCATTGGAGAATTATAATGGTAGAAACTCAGGCAGGGCTTCACACTTCCTTTCCACATACCTTCAAAAGGAACTCTTGATGAATCAACTTTGGTTAGGTCTCAGTGCATGCAACACTGTAGTTAGCTTCTTCATAGCTAGAGAAAGAAGATTGTGGCCTCAAACGTATTTAAGAGCCGCACTATTTATTAATATTGATTCTCAGTAAAGAAAAGCTAACAGCACTACATCAACAGCACACATCACCAGAGTGATAAGAGTTTGTCATGTTAATTTTTCCATTGACATGTATGACCTGGATATAATTTGAGAAATTATGTATACAAAAGGTTTGTTTCTAAAAGGTGGGCTCAATAAAAAGGTGCTGCTAAATCATGAGTAATTTTGAATAATTTTGCTAACCATATTAATGTTTGATAATTGGATGCCATGATGATAATAGTGAGGACAATCTTATTTTTGCTTTGGACTCCCAAAAATATTTTTGGGATACTGTGACTTTCCAGCTGTATTCATCATGCCTTATACCTTTTTACATAAAGTTTACTGCAATAGAGTATGGAGATTGACTAAGGGTTTCCCCTTTCAAAAAAAGAATTTCTCTTTAGAGTGTTATTTAAAATGTATTAGATAAAGTGAAGCTATCTCATAGACATTATAAAAGCAAAATATTGGTTTTCACTAACATTCTTTCCCTCAAATCGTCAGTTATATTATAGTTTGTCTTATTAGCTGTAGTCTGGTGAATTTCTAAACTTCTGGTGGAAAATGTTACATGGGAAATTCTCCTTGCTGCTATTCCTAAAATTAGCATTCACCACCCATCTTGGGTCATCCTATCTCAACTGTCATTTAGCTCTAGGCATGCCTTGGGCTCCTGTAAGGTGGATTCAGGACAAAGCGAAAGCTGGCAGATTGATTATCATGGTGCCCAGTCTGTCAGGAAAGGGAATATAGATGGAATGGGCTGAAGTTAGAATGAAGACATGGATTGTATGCTTTCTTCCGTGGCCATCTGTTGTGCTTACTTTCAGACCTAAGAAAGCTAATTACGTGTGGAAGAAAAATATTTGCCATTTTTACCATTTGCTAATATTTAAATTTTAACAGGTATCTTATGTTTTCTAATACAGTTTAATTTGGCTTCATTGAAGACTTTTTCTTATTACACTGTTTTTGACTAGGGATTTTATTATTTATATTATTAAAAATTTTCTGCTGTCAGGAGTTTATAAAGCCAGCTTTTGTTGTTGTTGTTGTTGTTTTTAACACAGCAAGAGCTTTGGGTTTGGTCATTGGAGAAATTGATTTAAGAAGCCAGGTCATTTTCTAAATTTTAAAGATATGTAACTAGCTAACGAATGAAAAATAACTTGTTGTCTTTTGTCTGAACATAACAAATGTTTCCTAAAAGCATATCTTTTTGTTGAGATGAAAACACATTATTTAAAATTATAAGATGAATATTTCATCCTTTATAGGGACATATCTGTTTTGTCCTAAGATGATATGAGTTACCCAACTTAAATCTAAAGTATTTTCAGATTTCAATTAAATTAATTTCAATTTCAATTAAATAATTTAATAAAATGTGTTATAATAATATAATTTAGTAAAGTCAGTAAGTGTGCATTAGCTTCAGAATTCCAATTTCAGCTGTAAATTTTCTAACTTAAAATCAGAGATAATGGGTAAAACAAACATGAATGAAATATTTACATTGTTCTATTAGAGAGAGACAATAAATGGAATGCAATCTTGTACCATCAAGAGGTATGAAGAAAAAGACCCTGCATCTTCATTTTCCAGGGTTTTCTGCTATGAAACTCATGTAAATCCTTATACAGAGTGACTGATAAAGTCTGACTCATTTTGGAGCACTGATCATCTCTAATTATAGTGCCACTGTAGCATACCTATAATTAAGAAAGAATTAGGTTTTCAATTATAAACCACTATTTTTAGACTTTCACATTTTGATAATATGTTCTTTCAATAAAGGAGGACACATCTTGAATTAGATGAGTCTGAGTAGAAAATGATTTTAAAGGACCT